TCTAAATTATGTTAGGGTAGGTTAAGGTAGGTTAGGTTAAGTTAAGGTAAGTTTGGTTAAGGTAGGTTAGGTTAGGTTACCCTTTGTCCATAAAAGATAACTAATTATAGCATACCACTGTTGAGGATGCGTTCACCATCCTGCCATGTGACTATGTTGATAACAGTGACATGATGTCTGTAGTTACTAGTACTCAACCAAGTACTAGAAACACTAGCGAATTCATCACTGACTGTAAACATTCCCCTAGTTACATCCCCGCGGGGGGGCGGGGTCATAGGTCAACGGTAATCACCCTTGTTCGACATTAAACAGCCTCGTTACCTCGATATAAAACTTAAGAGACCTCGGCAAGGCAAGAGAGTCGAACAAAAACTCACGTTGTGAACAAATAAAGAAACAAATAAACATAAGAGTGACAGTAACTGCCATGTAGTTGTTGTTGTGACTATAAACAACTGGTTCCTCAGTCACCTCATACAAGTTCCTCAGTCACCTCATACAAGTTCCTCAGTCACCTCATACAAGTTCCTCAGTCACCTCATACAAGTTCCTCAGTCACCTCATACAAGTTCCTCAGTCACCTCATACAAGTTCCTCAGTCACCTCATACAAGTTCCTCAGTCACCTCATACAAGTTCCTCAGCCACCTCATACAAGTTCCTCAGTCACCTCATACAAGTTCCTCAGCCACCTCATACAAGTTCCTCAGTCACCTCATACAAGTTCCTCAGCCACCTCATACAAGTTCCTCAGTCACCTCATACAAGTTCCTCAGCCACCTCATACAAGTTCCTCAGTCACCTCATACAAGTTCCTCAGCCACCTCATACAAGTTCCTCAGCCACCTCATACAAGTTCCTCAGTCACCTCATACAAGTTCCTCAGCCACCTCATACAAGTTCCTCAGTCACCTCATACAAGTTCCTCAGCCACCTCATACAAGTTCCTCAGTCACCTCATACAAGTTCCTCAGTCACCTCATACAAGTTCCTCAGCCACCTCATACAAGTTCCTAAGTCACCTCATACAAGTTCCTCAGCCACCTCATACAAGTTCCTAAGTCACTTCAGTATCTATGAAGGGAAACTTTAATTGGTCGAAATGTTTTGTTCCTCCAAATTTTCGTTTTATTTTTCTCGCTCGTAAAATGAGAACGACTCATTCGATCGGCTTCAAATTTTCAAGGCATGGTAACTAGGCCAAGATTCCTGTATCAATTATCGTTTGTAGGCGCCCTATAACCGAAGTTGTAGGACCCATTTCCAGCATCCTGGATTGGCAAGGATAACTTGCAAAATCTTCAGTGGCGTAGGATGATGGCCAGGATTGTGGCCAAGTTGGTGGCAAGGATAATTGCCAGGATGGTAGTCAGGATGATGGCCAGGATTGTGGCCAAGATGGTGGCAAGGATAATTGCCAGGATGGTAGTCAGGATGATGGCCAGGATTGTGGCCAAGATGGTGGCAAGGATAACTGCCAGGATGGTAGCCAGGATGATGGCCAGGATTGTGGCCAAGATGGTGGCAAGGGTAATTGCCAGAATGGTAGCCAGGATGGTGGTCAGGCTTGTGGCCAGAATGGTGGCAAGGATGTTTTAGCTTTCGAGCAAATTTGTCAGCGCAGTACGTAAGCCGCTGGGCCAGCTGCCTTTAGCACTGGCCTGGAGTTTTACGACTGACTTGCCGTGAGTTTGAGCTCCACCCTTACCGTGGTGAGTGATGCTGATGTCCATTAAATAACTAGAGAATTTTCCCTCTTAGCTTCAAGCTTCAGGAGCTTAATACTGACGTATTCCATCTGAAAGAGGACACACACTCTCTAAATTCCGACATTTAAGATGCAAAATTGAAATTTTGACGTGGAATCGTTGGATTTAGAGCAGTTGCCGCAGAATGCCTTTCCCGATAGATTTCAAACTTTCAGTGTTTGATGGCTTCCACTTCTAGTTTTGGAAATTTTAACTTGCCAGTTTTAACAAACAATTTCGTTTCCACTTGATATCTATAGAACGGCTCTTCTGGTCGGCTTCAAACGCCAAGCGCTGGTGAATCTTAATACTGGAAGTTTTTAATTAAATTTAGAATCTGTACAGGAAAAGTCGGTCGATGGATCTATAATTTCCTCACTAACAGAACACAGAGAGTAGTCGTCAACAGAGTAAAGTCCGAGGCAGCTACGGTGAAAAGCTCTGTTCCACAAGGCACAGTACTCGCTCCCATCTTGTTCCTCATCCTCATATCCGACACAGACAAGGATGTCAGCCACAGCACCGTGTCTTCCTTTGCAGATGACACCCGAATCTGCATGACAGTGTCTTCCATTGCAGACACTGCAAGGCTCCAGGCGGACATCAACCAAATCTTTCAGTGGGCTGCAGAAAACAATATGAAGTTCAACGATGAGAAATTTCAATTACTCAGATATGGTAAACACGAGGAAATTAAATCTTCATCAGAGTACAAAACAAATTCTGGCCACAAAATAGAGCGAAACACCAACGTCAAAGACCTGGGAGTGATCATGTCGGAGGATCTCATCTTCAAGGACCATAACATTGTATCAATCGCATCTGCTAGAAAAATGACAGGATGGATAATGAGAACCTTCAAAACTAGGGATGCCAAGCCCATGATGACACTCTTCAGGTCACTTGTTTTATCTAGGCTGGAATATTGCTGCACACTAACAGCACCTTTCAAGGCAGGTGAAATTGCTGACCTAGAAAATGTACAGAGAACCTTCACGGCGCGCATAACGGAGATAAAACACCTAAATTACTAGGAGCGCTTGAGGTTCCTGAACCTGTATTCCCTGGAACGCAGGCGGGAGAGATACATGATTATATACACCTGGAAAATCCTAGAGGGACTAGTACCGAACTTGCACACGAAAATCACTCACTACGAAAGCAAAAGACTTGGCAGACGATGCAACATCCCCCCAATGAAAAGCAGGGGAGTCACTAGCACGTTAAGAGACCATACAATAAGTGTCAGGGGCCCGAGACTGTTCAACTGCCTCCCAGCATACATAAGGGGGATTACCAACAGACCCCTGGCAGTCTTCAAGCTGGCACTGGACAAGCACCTAAAGTCAGTTCCTGACCAGCCGGGCTGTGGCTCGTACGTTGGTTAGCGTGCAGCCAGCAGTAACAGCCTGGTTGATCAGGCTCTGATCCACCAGGAGGCCTGGTCACAGACCGGGCCGCGGGGGCGTTGACCCCCGGAACTCTCTCCAGGTAAACTCCAGGTACAAGCCATTTTTTAAGATTTTTTTTATCAAATTAGAATTTCTTTAAAAATCGCAAAATCATTTTTGTCTTCCTCGGAGGAGAGAAGAAAACGTTGATATTGAACCACAAATATGAAACAAATACTGAAAACCGAGTTTTTTTTTAATAAGGTTTTTAAACTTCACGAATTTGGTGAGCCACACTGTCAGCCACACTGTCAGCCACACTGTCAGCCACACTGTCAGCCATACTGTCAGCTACACTGTAAGACTCACTGTCAGCCACACTGTCAGCCATACTGTCAGCTACACTGTTAGACACACTGTAAGACTCACTGTTAGCCACACTGTCAGTCACACTGCTAGCCACACTGTCAGCCACAGTTAGCCACACTGTCAACCACTGTCAGTCACACCGTCAGCTACACTGCTCTAGTCTTCCACTAACTTCATCGATTTCGTCTAAAGCTACAGAATGACTTATCCGATCGGCTTCAGATTTTCAGAGCTTGTTATCCTCGGCTACATGATATGCCTCAATGTGTCTATAACATCAGTGTGTCCTCAAGATCACTGTTACAAAAACAATTGTAACTTAAAACTCAATTTCTTTCATACGGAGTTACGTAATTTCTGGTCACACATAGCTTTGGGAAAAGTTTGGATTGGGAATTTTTCTGTTTATGGGGGGAGGGGAAGAAATTGGGAATAATAATAATAATAATAACAACAATAATAATAATAACAATAATAATTTCTGAGTATTGCATTCAATTACCTTCAGTAGTTCAATTCTACGAACCTGATAATACAACCTCTGACGTGCTTGATGTGCTGGTGTATTTTAGGATACTGATCTCTCTGAGACCAGTATCCTAAAATTTTTTTAGAGGGAAGTATAAATTTGGATAGTAGTTCCCATGTGTTGCCTTGTGAATACCTCTCCTGATCCCCTTTCAGATCTTCAACGTTGATATTAAACTCCGTTACAAATTATGCCACACTCTGCACTGCTCCAATCACGTGTACTGAGGTGCAGGGGACGTGGGTTAGTATATACAGGGATACCTTCATGGATCATTGTGGTATAGGGGACTGGGGTTAGGAGATGCAGGGATACCTTCATGGATCTCGAAGTGACTGAAATACATCTGGTTGCTGTTAAGACAGTTGAGCTGCAGCTGTTGGATCTGTTAGTGACTTAACTGTTAGTGGTGGTGGTGGTAGTAGTGGTTTAGTAACCGAGCTCGGTTACTAAACCACTACTACCACCATTACTACCACCACCACCACCATTACCATCACCATTACCACTACCACCATTACCATCACCATTACCACTACCACCATTACCATCACCATTACCACTACCATCACCATTACCACTACCACCACCACCACCACTATCACCACCACTATCACTATTACCACCACTACCACCACCACCACCACTACTACCACCACCACTACCACCACCACTACCACCACCACTACCACCACCACTACCACCACCACTACCACCACCACTACCACCACCACTACACCATTGAACATTAAAATTAATATTACCGCCACTACCATCCCCACCGCTTCCACCATTACCACCATCACCACCACCATCACCACCACCCACTACCACCATCACCACCACCACCACTGCCACCGTTACCACCACCATCACCACCACCACCACCACTACCACCATTACCACCACCAGCACACCGGAACCAGCGTCACCAGCGGCAGACATCAGCGGTTTAGTTGAGCGTGGGCCAACGCTCTGTCAGCACGCGCGCGCGAGGCTCCTCCCTTCACGCTCACGCACGCGCGCACCCGCCGTAGCGCACCGCGTGGAGAGTGCGCAACCACGCGACCACTTGCTGTCATCCCACCGCCCCTGCTTGACGCATGGAAAGACGTACACGCACCCCTGAAGCAACATATTACGCAAGATTGAAACAATATTCAATGGAAGTGAGGGATGGATGAGGATATTTTGACGTAGACGCAGAGCTTAACGCAACAGGTCGAAGTTCGACGCAACAGGCCGAAGTTCGACGCAACAGGCCCAAGCTTGACGCAACGAACTTAAGTTAAATGGTGTGACAAATAGTGACACAAAGACAGTGCTAAGCTCATCTGATAACTGTCCGTGACACGTGATGTATCTATCGACGACACGTGATATATCTATCGACGGCATGTGTTATATCTATCAGTGAAACGTGTAATAACAAATTTATCCAATGGTATGTAAGTGTGTCTTTGTGTACTGACCTATCGGTGACACTGAGTTTCGAATCACGTCTCTTGTGTGAACTCAAGGCTCGTAGTATCGTCAGAGGGGAATTTAGTTCCTTGTAAGTGAAGGTTGGAATCCATTCGCTTCACATACAATGGTACATGCAAGAAACAGATAGACTGGAAAGTGGAGCAATATTGAACCTAGGATAAGGATGTACACTGGTTTAAAAGTAGTGAACCCATTATTAGTATAGAGTATGAACCTCTGTTGACTCTCTCCTCTGCCCCATCAATCCTACAATCATCACCACTACCCCAAGATAACAACACTCTCAGCCCCCCATCAGCAATTCATCCTCATTCTCAGCCTTGCCTTCTCCCCTCCTCCAACCACCGTCTCCCCATAACACCCCTCCCTTCCCTCTTTCTCTCCCTGCTGCAGCACTCGCTCCCCCAACCTCCCCAACCACCCCCCAACACCACCATTTCCACCCCAGACAAGACAACCCCACCGGCCAGGAAGTAGAATAAGCGAGTTTATATCCAGCCCTGAAATTACCATCACGGAACCACTGGAGCCCTGAAGTCGACAGTGTCTCCTGCAGGGATCAGGGAAGCCCTGAGACAGTGTCTCCTGCAGGGATCAGGGGAGTCCTGAGACAGTGTCTTCTGCAGGGATCAGGGGAGCCCTGAGACAGTGTTTCCTGCAGGGATCAGGGGAGCCTTGAATTCAACAGTGTCTCCTGCAGAGGTCAGGAGAGCCCTGAAGATGACAATGCCTTCTGCAGAAGCTGCGTCAGTAGCACTCACCACACTCTTCCTGCTGCTGCTGCTGCTTCACCCAGGTAAGGAACTCGGTAATTCATTATCTCAAGAACATCAGAAATAGAAACAGCACTGCAGGAGGCCTACGGTCCATGCTAGGCAGGTCATGCACGCATCCATCCATTCGCAGGCAGGTAAATGAGCTAAAATTAGTTGATGTGAGTTTAGGACACATTTTATTTTAACAGGAAACGTTTCGTCACGCGTGGTTTCTCCAGTCCCAGTACAGACAACTAAGAAGTCAGTGTATTTACAGCGCCATGAGCCAGGTGACCTGAGGCTAGGCTGTGTCTGCGTGCTGGGAATAATGGGAAGGCGCAATACCATGGCTGGAACAACTCACCATTAACTTGTACGTGGGAGAAGAACATTATAACGACGTTTCAGTCCAGGACGGGCCGAAACGTTGTCATAAGATTCTTGCGGGGGAGGGAAGAGGGTACATAGTGAATGGTAGGTGCTAACAGACGGTAAGTTGTGACTGTAGACTACCATGGTAAGTTGTGACTGTAGATTACCATGGTAAGTTGTGACTGTAGATTACCATGGTAAGTTGTGACTGTAGATTACCATGGTAAGTTGTGACTGTAGATTACCATGGTAAGTTGTGACTGTAGATTACCATGGTAAGTTGTGACTGTAGATTACCATGGTAAGTTGTGACTGTAGATTACCATGGTAAGTTGTGAATGTAGATTACCATGGTAAGTTGTGACTGTAGATTACCATGGTAAGTTGTGACTGTAGGAACTTCAGGCAAGAACTCCCGGGATCCTAACTCTTGGGGGCCCTCCCCTCACACCAAGACCCTCGGGGGACCTGTGGTCCTTAGGGACCCCTGCAGCCAGACTCATCTTGCCTCGCTCTCTCGCCTTGACACCTGGCCTTCAGCAACCAATTACCTGACGGCCACGTCGCCAGATATCATGACGGAGGTATGGTACTTGCCTGCCTTGCCTGTCAGGTAGGTAGATAGGTAGGGGAAGGGGGGCGGGAGGGGTGATGTGGTGGGTGTCAAGGGGGAGGGGGTAGTTGTGAGTGCTTTGAAGAGGGAGGGGGAGAAGGGGAGATCGGAGAGGGGAGAAGGGAGAGGGGAGAGGGGGGATTATGAAATCACTAGAGGCAAAACGGTTAATTCAATTAATAAGGTCCTGAACTTTTCAAGGATGTCTTTTCTTCCCTCAGTTTTGGGGAAGCAAATCTAGGGTGGCTTTAAAATCCTAGGGTGGCTTTAAGAACCTAAGTGAGCTTTATAAACCTATGGTAGTTTTAAAAACCTAGAGTGGTTTTATATACCAAGGTCGGCTCTAAACACCTAGAGTGGGTTTAAAAAACCTAGGGTAACTTTAAGAATTTAAGATAGCTTCAAACCCTGGGAGTAGCTCAAAAACCTAGGTTAGCTTTAAAATCCTGGGGTAGCTCTTAGAACCTACGGTAGCTTTAGAAAACCAGGGTAGCTCTAAAAACTTAGGGTGGCTTTAAAAAGCTAGGGTAGCTTTAAAATCCTGGGGTAGCTTTCAGAACCTACGGTAGCTTTAGAAACCTAGGGTAGTCTTAAGAACCTAGAGTAGTTTTAAGAACCTAGAGTAGCTTTAAAAACCTAAGGTAGCCTTAAGAACCTAGGGTAGCTTTAATAACCTAGGTAACTTTAAAAACCTAGGGTAGCATAAAAAACCTAAGGTATATTTATAAACCCAAAGTACCTTTAAAAACCTAGTATAGTTTTAAAACTTGGGGAACTTAAGAAACCTAGGGAAGCTTTAAAACCTATATTAGCTTAAAAAACCCAGGGTCGCTGCAAAACCCTAGTGTAACTTTAATAATCATGGGTAGCTTTTAAAGCCTAAAGAGCTTTGAACAACCTAGGAAAACTTTAAAATCCTACAGTAGCTTTAATAATCTAGTGTAGCTTTAAAAACCTAGAGTGGCTTTAAAAACCTAGAGTGGCTTTAAAAACCTAGAGTGGCTTTAAAAACCTAGAGTGGCTTTAAAAACCTAGAGTGGCTTTAAAAACCTAGAGTGGCTTTAAAAAACCTAGAGTGGCTTTAAAAACCTAGAGTGGCTTTAAAAACCTAGGGTAACTTTAAAAACCTAGAGTCGCTTTAAAAACCTAGAGTCGCTTTAAAAACCTAGAGTCGCTTTAAAAACCTAGAGTCGCTTTAAAAACCTAGAGTCGCTTTAAAAACCTAGAGTCGCTTTAAAAACCTAGAGTCGCTTTAAAAACCTAGAGTCGCTTTAAAAACCTAGGGTAACTTTAAAAACCTAGAGTCGCTTTAAAAACCTAGAGTCGCTTTAAAAACCTAGAGTCGCTTTAAAAACCTAGAGTCGCTTTAAAAACCTAGAGTCGCTTTAAAAACCTAGAGTCGCTTTAAAAACCTAGAGTCGCTTTAAAAACCTAGAGTCGCTTTAAAAACCTAGGGTAACTTTAAAAACCTAGAGTCGCTTTAAAAACCTAGAGTCGCTTTAAAAACCTAGAGTCGCTTTAAAAACCTAGAGTCGCTTTAAAAACCTAGAGTCGCTTTAAAAACCTAGAGTCGCTTTAAAAACCTAGAGTCGCTTTAAAAACCTAGGGTAACTTTAAAAACCTAGGGTAACTTTAAAAACCTAGGGTAACTTTAAAAACCTAGGGTAACTTTAAAAACCTAGGGTAACTTTAAAAACCTAGGGTAACTTTAAAAACCTAGAGTCGCTTTAAAAACCTAGAGTCGCTTTAAAAACCTAGGGTAACTTTAAAAACCTAGAGTCGCTTTAAAAACCTAGAGTCGCTTTAAAAACCTAGAGTCACTTTAAAAACCTAGAGTCGCTTTAAAAACCTAGAGTCGCTTTAAAAACCTAGAGTCGCTTTAAAAACCTAGAGTCGCTTTAAAAACCTAGGGTAACTTTAAAAACCTAGGGTAACTTTAAAAACCTAGAGTCGCTTTAAAAACCTAGGGTAACTTTAAAAACCTAGGGTAACTTTAAAAACCTAGAGTCGCTTTAAAAACCTAGAGTCGCTTTAAAAACCTAGGGTAACTTTAAAAACCTAGGGTAACTTTAAAACCTAGAGTCGCTTTAAAACCTAGGGTAACTTTAAAAACCTAGGGTAACTTTAAAAACCTAGGGTAACTTTAAAAACATAGGGTCGCTTTAAAAACCTAGGGTAACTTTAAAAACCTAGGGTAACTTTAAAAACCTAGGGTAACTTTAAAAACCTAGGGTAACTTTAAAAAGCTAGGGTAACTTTAAAAACCTAGGGTAACTTTAAAAACCTAGGGTCGCTTTAAAAACCTAGGGTAACTTTAAAAACCTAGGGTAACTTTAAAAACCTAGGGTAACTTTAAAAACCTAGGGTAACTTTAAAAACCTAGGGTAATTTTAAAAACCTAGAGTCGCTTTAAAAACCTAGGGTAACTTTAAAAACATAGGGTCGCTTTAAAAACCTAGGGTAACTTTAAAAACTTAGGATTGCTCTAAAAACCTAGGGTAACTTTAATATCTTCAGACTTCTTCTGTCGAATATAGGCGAATTTTAACGCTGGAGACAGTAGAATAAATAGTCTTGAGGTGATCAGTCCCTTACCATGCATTCGACTGGAGAAGCCAGTTGCACAGGCGAAACGTTGCAACCATGAAGACACTCGAGTGTAGAAAATGTCTTATGAGTGGTGGAGCAGTAGGCCCTCTGCAGTGCTAGTTCATACATGAGGAGTGTTACTGTGTTGAGGACTGTTGTGTTGCCTCTGTCTCCAGGCTCAGAAGTGTTGTGTGTTGATGATTGTTGTGTTGATTGTTGTTGTGTTGATGATTGTTGTTGTGTTGATTGTTGTTGTGTGTTGATGATTGTTGTTGTGTGTTGATGATTGTTGTTGTGTGCTGATGATTGTTGCTGTAGGTTGATGATTGTTGTTGTTTGTTGATTATTGTTGTTGAGTGTTGATGATTGCTGTTGTGTGTTGATGATTGTTGTTGTGTGTTGATGATTGTTGTTGTGTTGATTGTTGTTGTGTTGATGATTGTTGTGTGTTGATGATTGTTGTTGTGTTGATTGTTGTTGTGTTGATTGTTGTTGTGTGTTGATGATTGTTTTTTGTGTGTTGATGATTGTTGTTGTGTGTTGATGATTGTTGTTGTGTTGATGATTGTTATGTTGATTGTTGTTGTGTGTTGATGATTGTTGTGTGTTGATGATTGTTGTTGTGTGTTGATTGCTGTTGTGTGTTGATTGTTGTTGTGTGTTGATGATTGTTGTTGTGTGTTGATGATTGTTGTTGTGTGTTGATTATTTTTGTGTGCTGATGATTGTTGCTGTAGGTTGATGATTGTTGTTTGTTGATATTGTTGTTGTGTGTTGATGATTGTTGTTGTGTGTTGATTGTTGTTGTGTGTTGATTGTTGTTGTGTGTTGATGATTGTTGTTGTGTGTTGATTGCTGTTGTGTGTTGATGAATGTTGTTGTGTGTTGATTGTTGTTTGTGTGTTGATTGTTGTTGTGTGTTGATGATTGTTGTTGTGTGTTGATGATTGTTGTTGTGTGTTGATGATTGTTGTTGGTGTGATGACTGCTGTGTGTTGATGATTGTTGTTGTGTGTTTATGATTGTTGTTGTTTGTTGATGATTGTTGTGTGTTGATTATTGTTGTGTGTTTTATTGTTGTGTGTCGATGATTGTTGTGTCGATGATTGTGTCGATGATTGTTGTGTGTTGATGTTGTGATTGATGATTGTTGTGTGTGTTAATGATTGTGTTTGGTGTGTTTTATTGTTGTGGGGTTTTTGTTGTTTGGGGTGTTGATGATTGTTGTTGTGTCGATGATTGTTGTTGTGTGTCGATGATTGTTGTGTGTTGATGATGCTGTGTATTGATGATTGTTGTGTGTATTAATGAAATTTTGTTTTGGGGGTTTGATTGTTGCTGTGTATTGATGATTGTTGTGTGTTATGATTGTGTTTTGTGTTGATTGGGTTTCTGTGTATTGATTTGTTGGTGTTAATGATTTGTTTGTGTGCTGATGATGTGTATTTATTGTTGTGTGTTGATGAT